TCAAGTAGGCCAGAAGCCCGACTAAATTTACTCCTACAATACCAGTGACGAATCATTTCACTTTTTTATGTGCAACTTGCACCATGCTGTCTCTGAATGTTTCCTTGGACATCTGTCAAAGTCTGAGTTGTGAAAACATGCCCTCTTGCAGCTTGCTAACTACCAGGAGTTACAAACAGGTCACAAAATTCTATCTTCAGAGACGCACAAAATAGCTAATTAATTATGTCAAAGCACTAGGACTGTCAAATGATTTTTAAAAATTGATCACGATTAGTTGTGCAATTAAAAAAAAGTCACAATTAGTTGCTATTTTAATCGCACAGCTAAAAACTCAAAATTATGCTCAGAAAAACCTAAAAATTATGCAAGTACTTTGTATGAATGGGGGGTGGGAAATTTGTGAAAGTGTGGGGGGCTGTGGGTGTGTGTGTGGAGTCTGAAGCCCAGGGTGGGTGGGTCCTGCATGCGCTGGCAGGATGTTAGGTACTGTGGGTCAGGAGTGAGGAGCAGCAGCAGGGCTGGGGGGACTCTGACTTGGGATGGACACACACACACAGAGCACCCGGCAGGTAAGCCTGTGGCAGGGGAGAGACTAAGGGTGCAGATTGAGGCCTCCATGGTGAGGGAGGGAGTGGGGCAGGTGTAGGGGCTGGGTGAATGGGGCCCTGGGGCTGGGGTGGGTCATGGGATGGAGCTGCAGGAGGCTCATCCAGAGGTGCTGGGGTGGTGGGGGGCATGGCTCCCTGCCACTGTATGCACCCCCTTGGCTCTTGGACCCTCTGGTCCCAACTTAGCCCTTTCCAGTCAAGGTAGTCCCTCATTAGCTCCCCCCCCGCCGCCACCTGCAGGCAGCTTCTCTGGCTGCTTATGCTCTTAAAGGAACAGGTACATCCCAGTGCCCTGCGACAAATATGTAGCAAGATGTATGCTTAGTAGTGCAGTCCTAGAGATAAATGAGGCACTGACATTGTAACCTTTTTTAATTCTTCAAGAGGGTGATTAGTGTTCAGACTGGCAGTACCTAACACTATATATTACTTACTTAAGTAACTCTGTAAAAGCCCGTTTAAACAGATGATTAAAAATGAATTATACAGCATGATATGAAAGTATTTCTTGATCAAAAGATGCTCATTTAAATTTCTGCTCACAGGCAGTAAAGCACTTGAGGACTCCAGAATTTAAGCCTTATGTTATTTTTGTGAAGCCTCTGATTGCAGAAAAGAAAAAAAGTGTGCCAACATCTCCAACTTCAGAAGAAATTTTAGCTCCACTTGTAAGTATTTCAACCTCTCAATCTCTGTTCTTAAGATATTTAAAAAAAAGGATTTGGACTATAATTTTCCAGAAGAAAATTCCATAATTTGGACGATTAATTTTCCTGTCCCTCCTTTTCAGTAAGCATAAGTGTCTTATGATAGGAAGGCAGGATAGAACATGTTAATGCATCTAATATCTTAGAACGTCTTCCTCTGCATTCCTCTCAGTTACACCACATTGCTGAGGGGTGTATGTGGACAACAAAGCATTCTCTTGTATGACATGCCTGATGGGTTATGCAAGACCATGTCAAAACAAAGCCTAATTATATGACAGTGTATAAAACCTGAGTCTGAAATTTTCAGAGCTCCCATGTTACAATCAATGAATATGGAATCACAAACCATAACCTCATCTTCTGTTTCCTCCTACCCCATGCTCAGTGAGTTAATTTTTCTGAAATGTTTTGCCTTTTAATTTGACAAGTGCTTTCATGATGACTGTACTGCTCCTCCAAACACAAACATTATAGTACCTTGGCAGAAAGAATGATTGCATTAAATATTAGAAGTGTGAAATAGGGGTTAGTTTTAATTTTCCAACAGCCAACATATATTTCAGCCAGGAGATTCAGGATTAGATTGTGAACACTAAACCTAACAGAACCAGCAGTGAAGAAAAGGGGTATGAATTCCCATTTGCAGTAGCATATAGTCTTCAGGGTTGTACCAGTGGGAGCTACTAGTGTATCAGGTACCTACTGATCTCAACCCTCTTGTTGTTCCAGTGAGTGGCTCCCATGAGTCTGGCCAGAAGGCATTCAGTTAAAAGGGGAAAGTGAAAATCAAGCAGAGCAAGTTATTAATTAGTGGTACTTGCGCAACAAGTAGCATGTAAAAATCTTGAAAGGAAAAGGAACTGAATTATTGGTTATTAGCAGCATTTAAGTTAGAAAAACCAATATGCTGTTGCATAGGTGACGTGTAGAGGGGGCACAGAGTGGCACGTGCCCCCCTGAGATTGGCCCTCACCAGCTGGGGAATGGGGGCACCAAGAGAAGTGCTGGCTGGTGCCCCACGAGATTGGCACTGGCTGGGGAATGACGGCTCCAAGAGAAGCTCCAGCAGCCCTTCCGGTTTTGCTGCCAGCACCTCCAGTTTTGCTGCTGGTGCTTCTGGGGTCAGCGATCGGCTGCTGGTGCCCCCCCAGAATCAGGAGACACCAGTTGCCCATGTGCTGTTGTATCATCTCTTTCTGTAATAACCAGGTGCATGACCTCACATGCACATTGCTTTGAGCAAGTTTTCAATGAAGCCTTCAGCTTTGGGTTTAAATGAGGCTGTTGCACTGTCATTGTTCTACTTGTCTGTTATTACTGATGAAGCAGGACATTTGTTACTTCATAAATGCAGTGTCTCAATTTAATTTTCCATTTATAAGCTTCTTGCATGTTCCCAGCCACATCTTCCATCCCAAGATATCACATCAGTCCCAGTACTAAGCACATTGCTTATTAATTGTGACTGCAAGTTTTTGTTTTATCGTTTTGCATTGGCAATAGCTTTTGCATTTCCCTTCCTTTTTATTCTCTTTGGATTCTCTCCAAGATACTAGCTAGTCATTGGAAAAGTAGAATGAATATTTTTCAAGTTTAATATCTTCTTCTCACACATTGGTCAGCAGGATGAAGAACAGCAAGAAATTATTAATTCAGCAGTATTCATCGAAGAGCAGTATGGCCATTTAATTGACACTGTGTTGGTGAAAGAAGATTTCCAGAGTGCCTATAATCAACTGAAAATTGTTCTAGAGAAGCTGAGCAAGGACTCATTTTGGGTGCCAGTCAGTTGGGTCCGGTTATAGCCTGTTGTTACGCATTTAAACAAAAGTTTGTATAAAACTTGTTGTAAATACCAGAATTATAAACTGAAAGATGTTGGTTGCATTTCAAAACTGCCAGTTAGTCCAGGAGATAATATGAAATGTTCTATCAGTGGAACCAGGCAGATCCAGTTAGAAGCTGACACTGGGTTTCTAAACCAGAATTTTTAATAGCAAATATCAATTAAAATGTGTTCAGTATAACTGATTAGTAAACATTTTGATTATTTGTAAACTTTGTAAATACTTTAGTTTGCAGTATGAAGTGGAACTTTACATGGGTCCTGTATTTAGTCATTGCAACACCAGGCCTGTAGACAGCCTGCCATCCAGGATAATCCTCAACTCCCAGTTACAGCTTCTCTTTCAGTGAGTAGAGAGAGTTTAGGCACCTATGGAAAGGATTTTCAGGAGTGCTTCCACTAGCCAGGAACTCACAATGGCACTTTGCCTTCTTCCTGATGGCACCCTACCTCTAGCCTCCTAACATGGGCTGGGAAAAAGCAGGTGTTACTTATTGTCTAAGCACACCTACAGGAACAAGCCTTGCTAATGAGGTAAATATTCCATGTCTTTAATCACGACTTGGCTCAGATAAGGGGTGCCTGTAGATGTGCTGGGAGGCTGCTCCAGTGTGCTGTAATTACTGCATGTCGGAGCAGACTTGATTAATTGAGTTGGCTGGAGCATGCTAAATAGAGCACTCTTCAAAATGGTGGCGGAGGCACTTTAACTAAAGCTCATCAAATGAGCTTTAGATAAAGTGTCCCTGCCACCATTTTGAAGTACAGGGATGCTGATGCATGAGATAATGTGGGAGCTTTAATTAGAGCGGCTCTTGGAGTTGCTCTGATTAAAGCACCCTTCCCCTACCCCCCACAGCATGTGTAAAAACACCCAAGGGTTCTAAGCAGCATATTAGTTATCTCCATGCGAGGTAACTTTGCAAATGCCAGTTACCAAGGAACTTAGGCACCTACAGTAAGTTGGCAGTGTGGACAATGTATCTGGCATCTAACGATGGACCGAGCACTCAAGTACCTTTAGGTACACTGGCACAATACTTAAGGGCATTTTCTGTACAGCACAAGGCAGTGCCATATAGAGAGAGCCTGCACAAGGCTACACCCTTTCTGGTTCTGGAGCTAGCATAGGTTCTGTTTTTGTAGGACAACATCTCAACATACATTAACAGACTCTAAGATACCATGCTCTTGATAATTAGGGATGTGTGCATCCCAACTCAAAGAAGAGGTCCCAGAGCATGCTATGACTTACATCAAGTTTTGGAGATAAAATATGCACAGCAATATTTCAGAAGTTTGAATATATAGAATTTTTAGTATATGTATGAAATACAACTCTCTTATAACTTTGGCAGTGAGTGACAGTGCTTTGAAGTCTGTAATTTGATAACTGTATGGTATTATTTCTAAACAGATTTATGTAACATATCTAAGAGGTGCTGCTTTCTATTTGCCTGCCACTTTTGATCTTCTTATGTACTAAGTCCCCTCAAATGTGTTCAGATCTAATCATCCCATTATTTTGTCTTAATGGTATGAAAATTATTATTGTTCCAGCAAAATTGCTAGGATACCCCAAATATAGAAAGTCCTAATACAAAGTCACCATCTTCTCCTTCCAAAAATAAGGATGAACTTTTTCCCTAGGTAAAGCCACATTTAATCAGTTACTCATTCAGGGCCAGGTATTGACCCTTATTGACTTTTATCTTGAAAGGTGCCATGTAGTAAATCAGTCACTTGTGATCCCTGCCACTGTATCAGGAGATAGTGTATTCCATATTTTTCTCATGATATTTCTGAAGCTTCTTATGTGACATATGAAGTGTCCCAGTTTTTTACTTAATCTTTCAAAGCTTTCATGTTTTTTATTCATTATAAAATGTTTACTCACAATGTGTTGCTTTGTTATTAAGTTCTTTCTGGTCAGGTACTGAGCATGCTGTAAGGGAGTCCATATTATCTTTAGTGTGTTGGGCATTATGAGGAAAGGGCCCAAAGCCAACTGTACCTTTAGATGTGTAGGTAACACACAGCTAACTTTAGCCACAGAAGTGATGTTTTAGGCCACTTATGCAGATTTTTTATTATATCCTCCCTGGATGGACATAAAATTCCATGAGTAAACCAAGCAGTAAGTAGAGAGCAGTGGCTCTGGGATAAGCAGTTCAGGTGTGGGACTGCTTTGAAGAAGTTTTTCTCTTTGTTAGTGACTTGGGGTGCCTGAGTGGTGCTAGCGTGTTTGCCTAGTGCTTGGTGCACTTATTTGGGGGGTTATTCCCCTGCTGTTGTGTATGATAGCTTTTTTTTCCCCTTCTCTCTCCTCCTCCTCCTGGAGTGACTGAATTACAGGGCTTGCTCTAGGTGGGGCTGGTTTAGGTAACCAAGGGGTGGAGCTGGATAGGCAGCCTTATATCGAACTATGGGAGCAGGGAGCAGAGGGCACCAGAGGAGGAGTTTGCCTACAGAGTTTGCCCCAGGAGGGAGCCAGGGAACAGGAGGCTCTGTGCATATGTGTTCAGGTGGGATTGTGGACAAGGACCTTGGTGTGGGTGCTTGGTGTGCAGCTTCTTGTGGCATGTCAGTTTTTTCCCCTCCTTCCCCTTTCCCCTTCTTTTTAAAATCCTTACTACATAGTTGGGCTCCAAGGAGCAAAGGAGGCACAAATAGAGTCTGGGTCAGGTGTTCACAGATTCACAGAAGTTTAGGGCTGGAAGATCATTGGGTCCAGCCCCCCTGCTCTGGGCAGGAAAGACTGCTGGGTCAAATAACCCCAGCAAGGTGTGCATCCAGTCTCCTTTTGAAGATCTCTAAGGTAGGTGCCTGCACCACCCCCACTGGGAGTCTATTCCAGTGTGGTCACATGAACTGTGAAGAAGTCTTTCCTTATATCCAGTCTGAAACCTTCTAGGAGTTTATGACCATTGCTCCTGGTTTTCCCCTGGGGCGTTTTGGTGAATAGTTGTTCGCCTAGCCCCTGATGTTCACCCCTCATATATTTGTAAGCTGCCACCAAATGCCCCCAAAGTCTTCCCTTTTCTAGGCTGAACAGTCCTGTATCTGTTAGCCTTTCCTCGTATGGCTTGCTCTTCAGACATCATACGAGTGGCTCTTGTTGTGATCTACGTGGAATGTGTCATGTTCATGTTCCTCCCACAGGGTCAGGAGCACTTCATCTGTACCAAATGTAACATGATGTCTGCCCTGGAGGAAAAGATTCATAGATTGGAAGCACAGGCATTCATGCTACATTGCATCTGAGACCAAGAAGATTATTTGGACAAAAGTTAGAAGGGCCTGGTACTGGAGGGGGCCAAAAGGCAATAAGCAGAAGTGGCAGCATGTGACTACTTGAAGAAGGAGGGCCCCAGAATTGAGGAGGAGCAGGTTGAAGTTAGCAACCGCTTTCAACCATTCTGCAATGGAACTGCCAAGGAAGAGGCAGAGGAAAGGATATCTGAAGGCATGAGGCAGAGGAGGCATCAGTCTAGATAGCAGAAAGTACAAGGCTCCAAGGACACGGGGCTCCAGGATCACTGCCCCAAGAAGGAAAAGAGTTGTGATGGTTGGTGACTTCCTTCTGTGGGGGACAGAGGCACTAATTTGTCATCCAGATTTGGGGGCCTGGGAAGTGTGCTGCCAGCCTGGAGCCTGAATTCAGGATGTCACAGAAAGTCTTTCAAAGCTCATCCATCCTTCAGACCACTGTCCCTTCCTGCTTGTTCATGTAAGCACCAAAGATACTGCCAAGAATGACACTGACCAGATCAGAGGTGACTATGAGGCTCATGGCAGGAGGACTAAGGAACTTGGAGCAAAAGTGGTGTTCTCATCAATCCTTCCTGTAAAAGGCAAGGGTCCAGGCAGAGAGCGTCATATCCTGGAAGTGAATGTGTGGCTGAGATGTTGATGTCAATGTGAAGGCTTCAGCTTCCTTGACAATGGGTGGATGTTATTGGGAGGAGGACTGCTATCAAAAGATAAGGATCCACCTGATGAGAATGGGGAAGAGCATCTTTGGGCATCATCTTGCCAACATAATAAGGAGCAGTTTAACCTAGGTTTCATGGGGATGGTGATCAAAACACTCCAGCAACAGAACATGCAGTCCAGAGGGGAAAGGACTTGAAGAGGCAGCTCAGCTCTGGGAAAGGGCCAAAGAGCTGCAGGACTGCAACAAGTGGCACAAAAAGAAAGTGAGGAGGTCAAAATGCAAAATACATCCAATGCATTTATACAGATGTGAGAAATACGGGGAATAAACAAGATGAGTTGGAAGCTGCATCCTGTAAAAAGCTATGATCTGATTGCCATCAGTAAGACTTGGTGGGACAGCTCTTATGACTGGAATGTGAACATCAAGGATTACACTCTGTTTCATAAAGACAGAGTTGGAAGAAAAGGTGGTGGTATGTTGCCTTATATGTCAGAAACACATAACACTGGTTCCTTGGTTCAGGAAGAAGAAGATGGCAAAACAGAACACATTTGGGTGAACATGAAAGGTGAAAGACACAGCACCAATATAATGGTGGGAATTTATTATAGGCCTCCTAATCAGAAAGAGGAGGTGGACGAGGCATTCTTCAAGTAGATGAAAAATCTATCCAAAAGCTATTGTATGGTACTGATAGGAGACTTCAGTTTTTTGGACATCTATTGGAAGAATAATGCAGCCAAACATAAAATGTCAAGCTGTTTCCTAGCTTGTGTGGAGGGCAACTTTGTCTTCCAGAAAGTGGAGAATACAACTAGAGGATCATCTATCTTGGATCTTGTCCTGACCAACAGAGAAGAATTGGTGGACAATGTGAAGGTGATGGGTAATTTGGGAGGAAGCAATTATGATACGCTAAAATTTCAGATCCTGAGACACGGAAAGCATGAGGTCAAGCAAAATTAGGACACTAGATTTCAAAAAGGCAGATTTCATCTGACTCAAGGAATTAATAGTCATGGTGTCATGGGAGGATAGACTGAAAGATAAAGGCACTCAGGAAGGCTGGGAGCTTCTAAAGGGTAAGTATTGGAAGCCCAACAAGAAACTGTCCTGACACAATGGAAGCACACAAAGAATGCCAAAAGACCAATATGGTTGCACAAGGAGCTTCTAAAATGCCTTAAATGCAAAAGGAAAGCATAAAGGCAATGGAAGAATGGGCAGGGTACCAAGGACGCATACCAGGAAATAGCAAGAACCTATACTACCAAAATCCAGAGGACAAAGATAAAGAAAGAGCTGCACCTGGCTATGGAAGTTACAGACAAGAGGAGATTCTATAAGAATGCTGGCCAGAAAAGAAAAACCAAGGAAGCTGTAGGTCCACTGTTAACTAGCCAGAGGGAACTCTTAAAGGAAGATGCAAAGATTGCTTCAATCTTCACAAAAAACTAAGCTGCCAGACACCTATGATGGATTATGTGGATAAGGAAGGGGGCAAGCTGAGGGAGGAGATAAAAAAAAGAGCTGGTCAGAGAGCTTTTGTTGGGTCTGAATGAATTCAAGTCAGCAGGTGAACTTCATCTGAGGGTCCTGAAGGAACTGGCACAGGGTATCTTGGAGTCCTTGGCAATGATCTTTATTAAATCCTCAGAGGTGGGGAAGATGCCAGATGACTGGAAAAGGCCAAATGTAGTGCCCCTCTTTAAAAAAGGCTA